TAGGGGACTACTGTGGACGGAAAATGAAATGAAAGGTTACTGTTATAAGCCCTGCAGCAATAACTATGAATATTGTTTCCAGAATAGCAGGAAAATTGTAAGCATATGCATACTGCATTTGTAGCGCTCCGCAATGCCCGTTTCGGCTTCTATCTAAGTACACTCTATATCCTCACGACCCCATTGACTGCTCAGCGTCATTCAACTTCTTCGTCGTAGCAGTAAAGAAGAAGAATGACTGGTTTAAGCGAATCATCACTACAAATCACCTCACGTTTGCGCCAAGGTTATTCTGAGTACAAGAACTACGCGGTTATGAAACTGTATCTGATCGCAAGACTCATATTATCGCTAATGAGAAGGATTAGGTTAAAACAACGTGCAAATTGGTAAGAAGTTTTTTAGAAACCTACATAACATAATGCCTCCCTGAGAAGGTTTCTATAGAGACTGTAGTAATCTTGCATTTAAGTGCAACACGTGCTGCCTGCAAATTGCCTGATTTTGTAAAAGTTTAATATTTGTTCGCATTCTGGTGTGTACACAATGACGAATAGATAGTAAAAATGATGAGCAGCATAAGGTTTATAAGTAATTACAAGACATTTGAGGCATTCTAAGTGTCTGCTAGTAAAAGTCAGATTTATCCGAAAATGCCAAGTTATGGGGATGTAAAAATAGCTTTAAATTCGATCAGTTAATATAAATGTTTTGAAAAAGTCATAGCTTAACGTAAGTACCTTCATTATATAAAGAAACATTTTCCTTAGTCAAAATATTTTATGCATATTATCATGAGCGGAATACTACTTATTGAATATTAATAAGCGACGACTCGCTCGCTGTGACAATACATTTATTTGGCTTAAAGTAAAGTAGGTGACATAACGCCTCCGCGAAACGAGTTTCCACAGAGATGGTATGATTCTTGAATATATAATCATCGAAAAACATGCTTATTTTTAAGATTACCGGCATGCATCACCTTGATGGTACGCCTGGTCAACAGAAACCGCATCGCGCGTAAAGTTGAACATCCGGCGATAACTTAAAGTATAAATGTCCCATTTATATCCAACTAAAGTTAATGCTCGTTCAACCACAAGAAGCAATCTCGAACACATTGCAAAGCACTTCTTCGTTGTAGTCTATACAGCATAGGAAGTAGTGCCTTTCCCGAATACCAGCATGGCCCTAAGGAAACTTGTTAATTCTTCGTTATAGGTGAGCACAATTTTTTTCAGAAAACAGTGGCATGCGCAAATTTATATATTATAAAGGTGACCTGAGGGTGACTAAGCCATCATTGCCTGCCAACCAGGAAATCTTCCTCTACCTTAGAAAAGGAAAAGCAGTATCTCAGAAAAACAAACTGCAGTCCGCTACGAACTACCGGATGCTAACGTGCAACAATGGTGTCAAGCAAGACTGAACGTTCTTTTTGTTTCCTGACAGTTTTTCTAAAGCAAAACTCGCACTGTCTCCAGCACGGCATTAACGGTAATACAGCGAAATGGAGGCATAATGCAGAATTTGCGCATTAAGTTTTGCGAAAGAGAAACAGTAACAAGAGGCTGGATTGCGGGTCTTCTGTGCTATATAAAATGTGCACAATGTTTAAAGTTACAATTTTAAATCTATAGCATATTGGCTCCTACACCAAATCGGCGAATGCTAATGCCATAGCACCAGATGAGCGAGCATGTATCAAGCCAAAATAAACCACATGGGTGTTAGTTCGACAATCTCAAGCGAAGATGTCCACCATTTGCCCGGGAGCAGGGACGGTGACTGTTTCCAGATATACTGATATTGTGCCCGTCAATACCTACCCCAGTCTAAACCCTCTCAACTACATTGAAACGGCGACAAGATAAGGACGAGATAGCCGCGTAGGGAGAGGGTGTAGGCCGCAGCCGTTAACACCGACTTTACTTAGTAACTAGTGAAAGTAAACTTTTCGGCGGTACCACTGCACTGTCCAAGCTCACGCACGTATAGTGGATGTCTAGCCTGATTCTAAGAAGTCAGGGTTCGTTCTGCTAAGAACCACTACTGCTTTCCATAATGTCTCCACTACGGTGCAGCTATTAAATTCGTTCGCTGTTAGTCTAATGTTAGTCAGAATTGACGCTGGTTAAAGTCAGTACGCTGTTAATATCTTCTCAATCTCAACACGAAGTGTAGTTATACTGGTGCTAGCAGTAATGCCACAATTTATCAGCGTTGACGCTGAATTATCCTATGCTAGGGCCCAATATACCCTTGATCTATACACGGAAGGTGCATCTGGGTTAAACTATGTCGGTTAAATACATGGTTGGGCGCCTGAACAAAGTTGTTCTTGTCTTGGCTTTCAAAATCTCAGTTCGATCGCTCAAAATGTACGGACGAAAATGTTGCTGCTATATGCGCGTGCATATGATATAAGTGCTTATTCTAGCAACCATGCTTACTGAGGCTAGAAGATAGTATACTATACGTACAGCCTGGGTATCTCCTTCTTATGGGGCCGCTCCCAGTATGCACTCCGCTGCGTGTGGTAAAAGTGATTAGCAGTTGCTAAATTATACAGCA